TAGTTTGGTACAAGATTTGGTGCAAAATGGTGCAAATTTTGGTGCAGCATTGGAGATGGCCTAAGATTTTATTTGCAGGCGAATATTTATAGGGAGGAGATAAATCTAACAGACTTGTATGTAATGCTTCTCAGATACTCGAGGTAAACGTACATGGACACCGATGCATATCAACTCATTGCTTATTTAACTTATGAAGTTATTGCATTTTATTAATGATAGAGTAATAAAACTTGAATTTGAGCAGCTTGGTGGTGGAAACTATACCTCATCATCGAGATTATTATGCTTTATGTCAAAAAGAAAGATCATTTGCCAAAAAGGTAATTATACTGTAGTAATATTTCTGCCTATGTGTTTTGTTCATTTTTGGCTGATACCATGTATTTTTGCTTTTTCTCCTGGGCTTGCAGAAATTGTTTGCAGTGCTAGATGAGCTAGAGACTTTGAAGCCACTAGTGCGTCAATTAGATCAACTGGATAATGCTAACACCACATCTCAAGCGCATCAGATTGATGGCCAAAAACTGATTCCTGATGCAAGCACAGTGCCTTTATTGCCTGCATTGAATTATAAATCTTTCTTAAGCTACGATAATAAACGGGTATTGAGTACGACCATATTTGCTTCTGCATGAGTACTCAACTTAGAGCAAATTGTTATACGAACTCTAATAAACTAGAAGGTTTCTCCCTCTGAACACATTTCTGCAGAAGTTAGGTGTTATTTCTTTCTCTTAAGATACATCAAAATCATATTGTTTTTTCTTTCTTTTTAAGTGCCAGGCATGAAATATCTAGGATGGTGTTAGGAAGTTGTTTGTTTTGTACCAGAGAGGTGAAGTTGATTTTGCCAACTTCTGATTTTTATGTGTGATAGGTGCAATTATTTTAGCGAGGATAGCAAAAAAAAACCTTGAGCGTTTATTCCTGGGGAATAGTAATGAATTTGAGATTTCTTGCAAAGGAAATAAAGAAAATCAATATGATTATTTAGGATGAGAATTAACTTTCTTGGGCTGATAGTAAGTTTTAGTTAATGTGACAACAAAATAAATTTTAGTTATTTCAGTTCACTTAATTTGGATTTAGAAGTAAAATATTCGAGTAGAGTAACCTTTAACAGCTCCATTATGGTGTGTGTTTATACGTTTTTTTTTTTTGGGGTAGACAAGAAGTTCATTAGAAGCCTCCCCCGTTCTTGCCTTTTGACTGGAGCATTGTCTTGTCTACATACTCATAATGGATATCACATTATAGTTCAAAATCTCCACACCTAACGCACACAATCACCCCCGAAAGTGGGAAAAAAAAAGTAATGTTAAGCTAGTCAAATGCATTAGTTCGTCAATGTCTACTCTGTTGTCGTCCTTCCTCTTACCTTCATATCTTCTATGCAGTTGTCGCCAGTCACAGCACCTTCATCTACATTGAAGCAGAATAATGAGAATACTCGAGTTTCATCATCATATTCCATTGACACTCAGTTTCAGAAGCTGTCAGCATGCATAACAAAGACATTACTGTTTTAGATGATGAAATCTTTTTAAGTTGGATGTGCTAGTGTATTGCCACTGTAATTTGTAGAGGGGTTATATAACTATTCCTTAAGTGAAAATACAACTATTGCTGCAAAAGAGATGACAGTTTTCTATCTTTGACAATGTGGTTCGTATATGTCAGTTGACATTCCATTGACACTCAGTTTCAGAAGCTGGAGTATATGTAACAAAGACATTCTTGTTTTAGATATTGAAATCTGTTAAAGTTGCATTTGATAACGTATTGTGATAAGTGTATTTCGTACATTTATCTAGACCATTAAATTAGAGTATTTGTTAGTTATTTGGATGAGTTATAACTTAATTTTGTGTTAATTATGTTTGTTAGGTTAAACTCAATGCAAATTGGTGGATTTTGAAGAAATGAATGAAAAACGTGCGAAAAAGAAGGAAATTCAAAGTTTGGAGACCAAATTGTAAACATCCATTAGATGATTCGGACCACAAAACGAGAATTGAAGATCATATAGGATCAATTGGATGCAATTGGAGGTCAAAGGAGTGAGATATAGTGGAAGTATTATCACAAATCAATTTCCAGACGAAGAAGTTATGCTTCGGATTTTTAGCCTTAACTTGAGACCAATTTTTCGGATCGCAAACGTTCGAACTAGAAATTTTGTATTTCTAGAATAATTTTATCTCTTTGAATTATATTTCCAACGCATTTTGAATCAGCTCAATCGAATACTTATGAAGAAAGTTATGACCAAAACACCAAAAACTGTTCGGAGACGAACCTGCGCACGCTGGCAATTCATGGCTCGCGCACGGCATTATTTTTCCCAACACGAGAGTCATTTGGTTCTATGGCGCACGCACAACACTTATACCGGTGCGTGCACACGGGCCTTTTTCGCAGACAAATATTTAGTTTCCTTTCGCGATTCAAACTCTTTTGAAAACCAAACTGGATGCGATTTTGACCTATTTTCTGACTCTTATAAATAGGGAACGAGGGCTACACATAGGAAAAACCTCTATTGCCTCTTCATATACCGCAATTTAATCAAATTCATCAAAAACAAGAGGTCAATTTCTATATTTTGAGAGAGAAGATCAAGCCATAGCAAGGAATTGAAGGTTAATTACATCAAGATTTTGAAAAATTCAACATTGGGCTTGAAGATCAACATCTTTTGATATATTTCATGATCCGAGTGATATTTTTCTGTTATTCTTCTTGTAATTTATAAATTAACATGTTAAGCTAGATCCGCTTTTGTATTGGATGAAGATGAACTCTATTTGTTTATTTGTTTTAATTCAAGACTAGTAATTTAGTTTATTTTTTGTGTTCCTTAATTAATTTTGCATACTCATTGTATTATTTAATTGATTGGCCATCAATTATATAATTAGTTGCTTATTGTAGTGTTAGGAGACTCACAATAAATTTAGAACGCGGCAAAATTAACATATGTGCAAATATATGTTAGGAATAACAGTTATCACATGTGCAATCATATAGATAATCTAAACTTTAATGCACTTTAATAATTCGAATTCGGGTTAGGAATAGATTTGGGTCGTGGTTAGAATAGATTTAATTTGTCTTGAAAAAAAATTATATATCGTAGTTTTATCAATTGTTAAGAACGCATGAACGGAATTAGATTACAAATCAAGAATTGAAATAGATAGCAATGGATGGATTTGAGATCCAATACAATCATCCATAAATTGATAAAAATCACATTTTTACTGCTTTCTTAGATAATTTAGCATAAAATAAAATTAAAATCTTTATTTCCTTTACATAATTCGAATTCCATATATAACTAGTAAATTTGAATTGAATTTATTCCCTGTGGGACAATAACTCGTAACTCATCAATTCTATTACTTGTCAACGATCTCGTACACTTGCGGGTTTCGCACGAACATATTACCATTGTAATTTGTATAGGGTTTGTATAACTACCTTTCCTTAATTTTATATACTACTATTGCTGCAAAAGAGATGATGGTTCTATCTTTGAAAATGTGGTCTGTATGTGTCAATTGATATTTGAAGTGCGAACACAACAATCTTGTAATTAAAGCTCTACTGTTGTATTATATATTAGACTATTAGTGCAACCATTAACTGATGTTGACATTTTCTCTGATTTCTACTTTTCCGTGTTGTTTACCAAAAAGTTTGCTCAACAATGATCAATCTGCATATTGTGCTTCCATTCAAGGCTTGAAAAGTCCTCTATCTCTTCCATATTTGTAAGAACAATTCCTTTAACTCATCATTTGGGACTTGTATTGAACCATGAATCAATTTCAAATTTTCTATCTATCCAACATTCTATATAAAGTTTTTAAATTTCTCTCTTAATTTATTCTCTTAAATACCTCTTAATGAAACAATTTAAACTGGTAATGCTTTATTTCATTTTATTGACTATGTAATGCCTTAGAGAATAGCTTAATCTAACCTTTAGATCATGCCAAGTGTAGTTATTACATCTTTTAATGAAATAGAGAAACAGACAAATAAGCATACTTGGTCAGACATAATGCCATTACTTTATGGATAATTTTGTATCCACTGCTGTTTCTTGATTGCATCTTTTGCTAGAGTAGACACTCAACTATTTGCTGGTGCTTTGTTTTGTCAATGTGCCTGGTTGACAAAGCATGATCAGATGATGGTACTATTTATTCCTCGAGGTGGTGCAGCCTCCTCCTTATTGCTTGTTCTTTGGGTAATATTTGAATATTACACTTTTGCTTGTACAGTTCAACTTTTATGCTGCTACTAAGAAAAAGTTACATTTCAAATTAAATGAGCCCTAGTGGCAAGACATTTAAGTTGACTCTATGGACATGCCTATATTGGTGAGTGAATACTTACAAAAGAACAATGCTCTTATAACTCAAGCTTTTCTGGATATTTTCTGTCTCTCAATAGCATGTAAATTTACAAAATGCTTCTTTTACTGGTATGTTGATACGACATTTGAGTTCTATCAACATTTGGGACGAGGATTTATGGAAAGCTATTGTGTGACTTTCTCGAGCTTAAGTAATATTATGATGAATGTTAATAGTTACTATAGTTTAAAGGGAAAGTAATTTCTTGTGTTCATGCAGTGTGGATGAATTAGAATGGCTTTGCTAAAGAAATCTCAAGATCCACTCAGTATTCTTTCGATAATAATCAGTAGAATTGACAAATAGATCCCAAGGATGCTTAAGATTTTTCCTAGCATTGAAAGGAATTTTTATGAACAAACTCTTACAACATGAATAGTAATTGCCTAATGACACCCATAAGATGAGTTTTTTTTTTCCCTTATGCCCTTGTTTGAGCTCCATTATATTTAGTTTTTGGGAAAAAATGCATTTTGTAATAGTGATTTTTTGAAGAATGTATGGTTTAAAAAAAAAAGGAAAAGTTTTGGGGTTACATGTAAAATTATTTTATTGGAGAATATGTGGTTGAAAAGAAAAGTGAGAAAAATGCATTTTGAAATTAATGGAGCCCAAACAGGGGCTATATTTCGGACACTTATAATCTACTTATGTGGTCTTAACTTTCAGAAGTTAGTGTATAAGTTTGTCCTTAATATTCATGATAATTTCTTGTAGAGGAGTTGTCATTTGCAACATGCTTATCTAGCTCTTGCTGATGCTTTTTTCTGTTTTAGTTCACTTGCTATGTGTTTGTGTCTGTAGTTCCATCTAAGTCTCACTGTCATGTTTTAATTTGACAAATAACTTGTAAATCAGAATATCAAGTCTTCGGCCGATTCAGTTACAGTAAGAGAGCTACAAATACTAACATATTCTGGAAATTTTGCAGATCTCTTGGTGTACCTCTTCCAAACCAGGAAACATTGTCATGGCATTCATTTTTAGGCCCAAATAGTCTTCATGGTCAGTGGCAGAGGCCTAGTGGTGAAAAAAAGGTGGACACACTGGACTTTCTTTTCTTCATTGCATCCACTCTTTCCCATTTAAAAAGAAGTCGTTTCATTCACTGCACTTTATTGTGTTGATCTCTATTCTACTTGTTTAATTCTATTTGCATGCACATAGGTTATGTTAAGAATGAATTTGTAGCTCTTAAGCTTATTTATTCATCTTCTCAAAGGAGGCTATTTATAGCCATTACAAAGCAGAAAAATAACAGATGCCACCACGATTTACATTACT